CCTTAAACCTGCTTTTATATCTTTTTCATCTCAGTAAAGATCAACTCAGTAGCTCAGAGCAAGACACATAGTCTATCTTTCCCATTATCTTGTCATCATATTCCACTACTAATACATCACTATTCTCTTGGTTCCATCTTCACAGTATAACCTGAGTCCAACTATGTCTCATCCTCTTGCCTTATTAGCATCCTGGGTCTAAATCAGTATCATCTCAAACCAGGCCCATCTTAGTAGCTTTTTAATTGGCTGATGGTACCAACACTCTTGCCCTCCAATAGTCCGTTTTCTATCCAGCAGCCAGACTCTTTAAAACCTAATCAGATTATGATATTTTCCTGTTTCAAAATATTATGATGACTTCTCACCACATTCAGAATAAAATTAAAACTTTTCCTTATCAAAGTTCTCAGACCCTTCAAAATCTGGTGTCTCTTCTCCTTTCTGCCTTCATCTTCTATAGCTTGTGCCCCTTGTTCAGTTCTGTTTAGCCACATTGGTTTTCTTGGAAGCTGTTTTGTTTTGTTTTTGTTTCGTTTAGTTTTTTAATGTATTGATTTTAGAAAGAAAGGAGGGGAGAAAGGGAGAGACTAGTTTGTTGTTCCACTTATTTATGCATTCATTGGTTGATTCTTGTATATTCCCTGACTGGGGATCAAACCTGCAACCGTGGCGTATTGGGATGACTTTCTAACCAAACTGAGCTACCTGGCCAGGGCTTCTTGCTGTTTTTTGAACTAACCATGCTCATTTCTACTTTCCCTTTTCCTCTACTTGACATACTTTTCTGCTGTATGACAAAACTTGCACCTTTTGTTCTGTTCAAATATCACTTTCTCAAAGAAGCCTTCCACATAGCCATATCTCAAATAGCTTCACAGAAACAGGATCTTTTTGTTGTTGTTGTTAATCCTCGCCTGAGGATATTTTTCCATTGATTTTTAGGGAGAGGGGAAGAGAGAGGAAAAGACTGAGAGAAACATCAATGTGAGAAAAATACACCGATTGGTTGCCTCCAAATAGGGCCAGGGCCCGAGGAGATGGGAACCAAGGTATATACCCTTGACCGGGATTGAACCTGGGACCCTTTGGTCACAGGCCAACATTCTATCCACTGAGCCAAACCGGCTAGGGTAAAAGAATCTCAAATGCTCTCTTATCCTGCTTCAGTTTTTTTAAAAATATATATCATTTCCTGCCCTGGCTGGTGTTTCTAAGTGGTTAGAGCATCGGCTCATGCACTAAAAGTTCATGGGTTGTTCCTGGCCTAGTCAGGGCTCATGTGGGAGTCAATGTATCTCTCTCACATCAGTGTTTCTCTCTCTGTCACTCTCTTTTTTTTCCATTCTATCTAAAAGCGATGGGAAAATATCCTCGGGTAAGGATTTAAAAAAAAGCACACAGAAACCTTTATTACTTCTTGATATTTCCTTTTGTCCGTTTTTTGATGTTTGATTGCCTCAGTTTCCCACTAAAAGATAAGTTCTATGAGATCAGGGGATTTTGGCTTATTCACCACTATATTCCTATTTCATAGAAAGTGTTTGGCATGCCATAGCCAGTTAATACATATTTGTTGAAATATTGAATGATGAATACTTTCTATCCTTCGAAATTTGTATGTAGAAAAAGTCCACTAAATGATGCTGATCTGTTTTGTCCAACTGGATATGAACCAGTGAGCTGCAAGAGTGATAGAAATATTTCCTAGTTCAGTTTCTGGTGCTCAGGAGCAAAATAAAAGACTACTATAATTATGGCAGAAATCACTTGTGCCTATGATTCCTAATCCACTGACCTTCACATTGGCTCTGCTAGGCCTGGTCTTATTCAGGTGACTCTTAAAGAGTTAATAAGACTCTAAAATCTCTGGAGTTTTAGTCCAACTTAGTCAAGTGTGCAGTTATTGGTGGCAGAAGAGGGGAACGAACATGTACAAAATTCCCATAACTATGTCCTTTCTATCGACCAAGCTAATCTCCACTTTGCATGTCAACCTACAAATGCAGTGTAGTATAAAACTAATAGCTGATATGAGGGTCTAACCATTTAACCATTTGGGGATAACAAATTGTAAGTGTTCTTTATTCTTACTGAAATATCTTGAATTAGTGAACCATTGTTAAGTTAGCAATCCTTGACCTCAGTTTTTTCATTTCACAGCCATATTTGTGCTCCCCAAACCTAAAGTCATCTCCTGTCTAGAACAAGCGAAAGAGCCATGGGTTCAAGGATCCACAGAGATCATGGACAGTCCTGGAGAGCTGCCTATAGGTAAATACACTATGGGAAGAGGAGAAATGTGCCTTAATAGGAATCTTTGCAAGGAATTAACATTTTAAGATTCTACTTACCTTATACTACAAATCAGTGATCTTTGTTGTTTTTTCCTCTCCATTCCTGTGGTTTTCTTGGCTCTGCCACTCAGTTGGCTGATTGTCATATTAATTCCAACAGGGTTAAAGCTCAAAAATGATACTGAAAATCATCAGCCTATATGTCCTTCTGACTTAGAAATACAAGCTCCTGGAGACATAATATCAAAAAAGGCCAGAGTGAAAGTTCCCCAGAAAACAACAGTCAAAGAAAATCATGGTGATATACATAGGGTGGGGAAATGGCACCAAGACTTTTCAGTGAAGAAAAGAAAGAAACTTTCAACCTGGAAACAAGAGCTGCTGAAACTTATGGATCGTCACAAGAAAGAACGTGCAGGAGAGAAGCCTTTTAAATGCCAGGAATGTGGGAAAAACTTCAGAGTTAGCTCTGACCTTATTAAGCACCAAAGAGTTCACACTGAAGAGAAACCGTATAAATGCCCACAGTGTGATAAGAGGTTTAGATGGAGTTCAGACCTTAATAAGCACTTAACAACACACCAAGGGATAAAACCATATAAATGCTCATGGTGTGGGAAAAGCTTCAGTCAAAATACAAATCTACACACACACCAAAGAATTCACACTGGAGAGAAGCCCTTTACATGTCATGAATGTGGGAAAAAATTCAGTCAGAACTCCCACCTTATTAAACATCGGAGAACCCATACAGGTGAGCAGCCTTATTCCTGTAACATATGTAGAAGAAACTTCAGCAGGCGGTCAAGCCTTCTTAGGCACCAGAAACTCCACCAGTGAAGCAAAAATTGTCCAGTGTCCTCAGTCTGAACAAATTCAGCAAGAGGAACTTGACACTAAAGTTTATGAAAAAATAGAAAATTATGAAGCATGATTTTTTCATCAGTGGAATATTACACAGAAAGAAATCAAGTTCAACTCTGCATGGGATGAATTAAAGTTGTTCTACTTACTGTGTTTACTTATAACCTGTAGGGAATTCCATAGCAAGATTAGTGTTCTAGGAACATTCTAAAAATGGGAAAAACTGTTTTAGGATTGTACCTGCCAAAATATCAAATTCAGTTTCAGACAGCAGATGAAGCCATAAAATCAATCAGTCTTCTGTGGTCATAGAGGTAAATAGTGTTGGTTTTTCATTGATCTACCCAGCCACTCAAACACATGTGATAGAAACATTTGTACCATGGTCTTCCAAAACAAAAAGCAATAATATGCTTGTTTAATTGTATACCATTGTCTTCAAGGTAGCAAGCTTAAAAATTTCATTAGTCTCATGGGATAGAAATGAATTCTAACGTAAAGTTTCCTAAGAACCTAATTGGATTTTCTTCCTCTCTCATCATTGGACTTTGTGTGAGTTTTTTCTTGAACTTTTTAGGAACTTTAGCTCTTGAATTGTATTAGCTCACATTTTACTTTGATGAAATTATATTTACTTCACCACTAGGGAATCTGCCAGATAACTAATAATGCACTATTTTATGCATCTCATTGGTGGTATTTGAAAAAAGGAAAACATTTCTAATGAGATTATATATAAACTAGAGGCCTGGTGCACGAAATTCATGCACGGCAGGGGGAGGTGGGGGGTACTCTCAGCCCAGCCTGCACCCTCTCCAATCTGGGACCCCTTGGGGGATGTCCAACTGCTGGTGTAGGCCCAATCCAGCAGTCAGACATCCCTCTCACAATCCTGGACTGCTGTCCCCTAATCTCTCACCTGCCTGCCGACCTGATCGCCCCTCACTGCCTCTGTGTGCTGGCCTGATTGCCCCTAACTGCCCTCTTGCCGGCCTGGTCGCCCCCAACTGACCCTCCACCCCCGCTGGCCTGGCCACCCCTCCTAGCCCCCCCCCGCCCCCC